CACAAAACAAATTATTGTACAACAAGAAACGAATCAAGTTCAATGATGTAAGAATCGACGAAAAGACACATTGCGAATTGCATTTACAAACCTCCTCCGGATGTATTTCTTTAATTAGTTACATTACGAACGTCGAGTCATATGAATGCGATGTTTAGTTAACGATAAATTATATTTGTTAGTTGGATTTATATTATGCCAGATAATCTGTTTGCTTCCAAGTTCTTGTTTGATCGTGACGAGAGATTTAGTTCAGAGAAATGTTTGATTCTTAATTATATAATCTATATAACATTAGAAGTATTTCACAAATATCGCGCTAAATATGGAAGTAAACAAATGTAATAGAATTTTTAGGAAGTTAATGTCTTTTGGATATTCTAAATCTTTTAAATATAAATTGATAGAAATGGAATAAAAATGTCTTTCTCGTCTAAGAATATCTAGAAAGTTCTGGATGATCATTGTTCATATATTTATAAATAATTTAAAGCTAAGGAATCTATATAATGTGCAAAGATATACAAATAAGATAACTAACTAACACGAAGATTAGAATGGATGAAATCTAGATGAAACTAGATGAAATCTGTATTTCCTCTTTTTTCCTTCTGTTCATTAAAATATGAATTTGCATAAATATGTGTAGTCGTAGGCTATTAATTATATGCGAAAATAAATTTCTAAGTATATTTATCATTTATAATTACTTATTAAACATGTTCTAATTTTGCTTTGTTTGTCTTCATGTTAGAAATAAAAATGTAAATATGAAACTTTGCATCATTAAATTGTCAGCAAATATTGAATACTGAATTTAAGAGATTCTTATGTATATGATAATATTCCATTCATAAATTCTCTGACAAAAGATATTCGAATGTTTCTCTCGATAATGCACATAATCTGTGTGTGTATTCTTTATTAATGAATTCTACTGGTTAAAAATTTTCGAAACGTAATTTTTTAATTTTTTCAATTTTTTAATTTTTCAATTTGTAACAGTAAAACTGTGTATATTTTATACTAATTTTTATGTCTATGATCGTCGAATATTTATCATAACTACAGAATATGCCAGCTAATTTCCTTTTTCAGTATCACATGATGATAACTAGATTGTGGGTTTTCATGACGCAAAAATGCCTAGAATATGCATAATATGCAAAAATATATAGAAACAGACACGTATAGTACATGTACTATTAAATCAATCTAGTTTAGGTTCTATTCGTTTGATTATGTTCATAAAGATCTATAATTTAAGGATAACAAATCTTTAAAAATTTTTAACACTAGAATTATTAAAATAATCAAAATAGCCAATTTGAAATTTTTCATAAAAGTGTTATAGATTCATAGCGACACATTTTTTAGAATTTAAATAATTTCTTATAAATTATACATAATCATAGACAAAAATCTTTATATGTCATGTAAAGAAATCATATTTCTTGAAATAAAATGCTAGAAAATTTCACTACAAACTAAGTGGATTCTACATCGAGGCAACTGAAGCTATTTTGTTGTTTCTTTATATTTAGCTTAACGAATAAACATATTAATATGCATCAGAATTTTTTTTTTTTTTATAAACTACAAAGACTTTTTTGAACGATTATAGTTTGTTCTGCTTCCGCGTTTCTAAAGTAAATTCAATTCAAATACGGAGAAGTCTTTCATCTAATCCCCATCATTCTTTACTTAAGGTTCAAACTAAGATTCAAACAAATCTCAATTCCACGAATCTCTTTCTTCTCTTAAGCCAAAAGAAGAGAAAAATCAACGAAGAACGTCGAAATAGCGAACGAGTTTTGCAAGTCGAAATTTGTCAATACACCTCCGCATCCTCTGAAACTCTGAAAATCCCTGGCCAGGATATTGCCAGGTATTTATTCATCGATCAGCCAGGTAGCGTGCGACTTGGCGGGGGGGGGGGGGGGAAAGGAA